TGGGGTGCTCATAACCATTTGTGGAGAGGACTCCCACCAGTCGTCTCGGGAAAGATATGACAACACCTGGGATTAGGGCTCCAGCAGGCTGGATGCTGTGATGAACCCTTAACCATTGTTCAAATGTTGCCCATACCCCCTCTGACTCGGTCTCTTGCCTCAGCATTCCCTAACCCGGCAACCGAGTTTTAGTCAATCAAGTTTAAATAGGCCTCCCATAGTGGGACTGGCGAATGTACGGCCCGAGATGCCTATTAAACTTAAAGCTGTGTGTGTGTGTGTCTGGGGGGGAAAAGTCCTTAGTAAATCCAGATTAGAACTGGTCTGATAAATGCTGAGCTGGGTGTGTGTGAACATGGGTTGATTAACATTGGAAGCACAGATTCCCCATCATGCAGCGCTCTCCTGCTTCTCTGGTCCCAGAATTCACTGCAGTCTCTGCTTCAGGCTTTCTGTTTTCCATCTCTCATGTAAATGAGACCTAGGGCAGTTGATTCACTCGTCACCCTTATCTGGTGAGGGTCTTAGGTGCGTCTCTCACTGCATCTTAATCAGTTTCTGCATCTTAATCAGTTTCATTTAGGTAGAGGGGGTGGGGGGTGAGTCCTTTGTGAGTCAGACAGACTGCATCCTGTGCCAGGGTTGCCCAAGAACACAGAGCTAAGACGTAACACCGCTCCTGGCTTTCAAATAACCCCCAAACATTACCCAATGCATTATCAAAAGCAAATTCTCTACTTCTCAACAGACACCAAAATATACAGTTTCGCCTTAACAATATATGCTTAACCTGTCAACACATCTCCGCTGCTACTACAGTTTACGCTCCCCACAATGAACCCATTAGAATACTAAAAATGCCTTCCCCAAAATATAATGCATCTGATCCAATGTACCAAACGCCCTTGTGGTAACTATTAGGTCTGTGCAAAGCTTTGGGTGATAATTTGATTTGGAGGAGATTCGGCCCGATTCGGTGGCCGAATCTCCGAATCCGAAATGAATCAGGGGACCAAGTTAAAGGTCCGAATTGATTCAAAGCTCTCCGAATCTTCGGCAAAGATTCGGAGAGCTTTGATGATTCGGGCAGTTCCCGGTGGCTGCAGCAGGGAGCTGCAGCTGACTCCAAACTGGTAAGTACTAGGGGAAAGGGAGCGGGGCTGGGGGAGAGGACCATGGGGGGAACACTGCTAGCCCCCGGCCCAGGGGGGGGCCCCCTGCCAGCCCCCCTTGACCCCTCCCCACTCCCCCAGCCCCCCTGGTCCCCGCCTGCTCCCTCATCCCCTCCATGGCTGCCCCATCTGCCCCGCTCCCGGTGCTTTAAAAAAAAGCCCCGGGGCTCACCAGGTGCTGCCAGGTGGGGGCCCGATCCCCGCTGCCCCATGCTGCATGTGGGGCTCTGCATGAGCTCCCTCAACCCCTGCTGCTCCCCCAGCTCCTCCACAGCTGCCCCACCTGCTGGGGCTCCAGCCCTTTAAGAAAAAAAAAAAGCTGAGAAAAGCCCCAGACTCATCGCTCCTGGTGCAGCCTGGGGGCTTCAGGGGCTTACGCAGAGACCCCCACGTCGTGGGGCAGCGGGGACCACCCCCACTGGCAGCAGCAGGGAGTCCCAGGGGTTTCTTCATGTTTTTTATTTTCTTAAAGGGTCAGAGCTAGCCCAGGCAAGGCACTCATAGGGGGCCTGGGGGGAACGGGGGTGGTGGTCAGGGGGCTCGTTCAGAGCCCCCCATGCAGCGTGGGGCAGTGGGGGGCAGCAGGGATCGCCTCCCCCCCGCCCCGCCTGGCAGGACCTGCCGGGGTGTGGGTCCCCCCAAGTGCTGGGAGCTGGGGCAAGCCGGGCAGCAATTGCTGGGCCGAGAGAGGGGCGGGGCATGGGCCTGGCCTGGCTGAATCAGATCCGGCCTAATTGAATCAGGACAGTGATTCGAATCACCAAATTGAATCACTGTCCCCCGAATCAGCCAAATCTGAATCTGAAGCCAGTACTAGCAGCTTCGCACAGGTCTAGTAACTATGGGGGTGAAGCTAAACAGCAACTACGCACCAAAATGAACTTTGATATAAAGGACAGAGATGCACATATTTCAGCAAGAGCACATTTGTCACAGAACAATCACTCCCTTTCTGACCTCACTATCCTTGTGCTCAGAACCAGTTTTAATGGCGCCCTGGTCAAACTTGTATTTTGGCACCCCCACCCTATGGTGCCCTGTCCCCCCACAAGTCATTGGCACTGCTGCCCTGCCGGGCCAGGGAGCTAGGCAGGGCATCTGCCGGTGACAGGGACTGCCAGCTGCAGCCCTGTGGAGCAGCCAGCAAGTGCTGGCATGGGGCCTCTAGTGCTTTGCGGCCTCCATGACTCTCCTCTGGGGCCTAAGATACAACTGGTCACATACAGGTGAGATTTAGCTACAGCCCTCCATAGGCTGCCAGCCCCAGTCTGAGATTCTCACTGGGGCAGGAGCAGGTGCCACTGCTGCCTCCATGCCTGGAATTCCCTCATCCCACCAAGACCCACTCCTAACACCCCAGGCCAGCACCAATACCAATACCAATACCTAGTGTTCACGGCATGTGTGAGAGCATGCATATGTGTACACACAACAAGGCCCCTACCCCATTACTGAGAATGGGGAGCAAACTCCGGAACCTGCTGGCCAGACAAGTCCCCAAGGGTAGACTTAAGGATAAAACAGACTCAAACAAACCCTTACCACAGAGGCAACAGCAACATCAGGGGTTTGCATAGAAAAACCACAGGTCCCAGCAACAAGGAACCTCCCTGAGACTGCTCCACCAAGCCAAATCAGAAACCACCTGTGGCATCTCTGGGAGGCAGGTGACCAGCAGCAGGCAGGGCCAGGGACCCATATAAAATGGTCCCCAAGGAGTTGCAAATGGAAGAGCTCCTGATATTGCTGTAGAGGAGAACCTGGCTGATAATAGAGCTACCTGGGGAACAGCTTGCAAGGTGCTGCTGACTTGCAGGGGAATACAGCCCATGGGTTAGGCTTAGGTTTGAACCCAGTTGAACTGATTTGTGTTATAGCCCAAGAGCCCATCTTTTAGTTAGAGTTTGTTCTGGGAGTTTGGAGGCCCCTTTAGTGCCCTAGGGGCATGTGCTTGCCTTGACCCATGCTGGGGGCAGGCTCAAGGTGGTGCAGAAATGTGGAGCCAGGAGCAGGGCAGACCAGGCCCAAGGGGGGGCTGGGACAAGGCAGGGACACAGAAACTAGGCCTGGTGCAATGGGCCTAAGCTATAGGAACCAGCTGAGAGAGAAAAGTGGTTGAGGCTGGGAAGGTCAAGACCCAACAAGCCTATGTGGGTACCTGGAGACACGAATTAGCCAGCAAGCCAGTGAGGGAGACCAGAACATCAAAGCCTGATGGGCAAATAAGGGGGAGAGCTCCCCAGAAGGGTGGACCAAGCTGGGGCTGAGTGACCACCAGGGGGCATCACAGCCCCTCCTGCCCTGGTGCCCAGGGTCGTGGTCCGTAATAAAGCTAGCTCTGCCTGTGGTTAAAGGAAACATACCAAACACTCTTAAAAACAGGGCTTGGGAACAAACTTGTAAACTGGCTGGACACTAAAAATCAAGGACTTGATATTAATTGTGATACACTATAATCTACCTGATCCCTACATGCTACAGGTGATGACTCCTCTCCCTTCTTGATAGGTCTTGATCCTCCAATAATCAAACTTTTCTTCTGCTAAGTGTTCATTTGATAGACCTGGGAACTTCTCTCTCTCTCTTCCCCGCCACCAGCCAATTTCACAAGCTCTATCCACTGTTCTTAAAAATCACTGGTTTTTATTTTCCTCCTCGACAGCTTGTCCAACTTGATGTCAGCTATGCAGTTGGCCCAATAAAAGATATATCACCCTGAAAACTCCTTGCCTTGTGCACTAATCCTGGACCATCCTCCCTGCAACATCACCCTCATACCCTCACACTAACTTTGGGTGGCACCCTTAAAAGGCTCTTACTGTGCCCCATTGGGGGAAATTGCTGCTCCCGGCTACGTTTCTCAAGCTGTTCTGCTTGTCCCAGAGGCCTAGAAACTTGTTTTAAAATGTGAAAAATAAAACAAACAAACAAACCAACCTACCTCACTGCATGAAAGCGGGGGATGGGAGTAGGTTTAAAAGAAAATGACAGCCTTGGAAGCGTTGTAGCAAAATCCTGCAAGTTGGCAACAGCAGATGGGAGCGGGGTCCTGGCCACCAGTGTACTGTAGTGGGAAGAGAGGGAGAACTTCTTGTGCCTGGACAGCAAACTGCTTTGCTTTCATATTTCTTCCCATCCCTCTTTTAAAAATGCGGGGAAAAAAATAATAATTAATCAATGATTATATGATAATTAATGATCAAGTGATTAGTTATTAATGATTGCTTGGTGGTATATTAATGATTAACCATTAATAACCCCATTAATATTTGTCAATAATTCAACTAATGCTTAGTTGCTGATTTGCCTAATTGTTAACTGTGTATGCCTTTATTCATGATTACTTGTTAATAATTTAATTAAGCATTAACCATTGAGTAGCTGTCGATCTAATGATTACATGTTAATTGTTTAATTAACGATTAACTGCTAATGGTTTAACAAATGATTATGTTGATACTTTTAACTATTTATTGTTTCTAATTCAATTAACGACTGCTTGTCGATAATTGTTTGCTAATGATTGAGTATTGATAATTGTTGGTAGCTGGTTATTAATGAGTACTAGTAATTAATCATTGATAATGATTGATTAATGAGTCCTTGTCTCTCATTTATGAACTCTTCACAGCTGCCGCAGCGCTCCCGCTCTCTCCTTCCTTTGCCCTCAGGGAAGCCTAGCGCTGCTTGCCTGGCCGTCTGCCTACCGGGCTCCGCGCAGGCGCACAACTCTTGCAACCGCTTTGGCCACCTCGGGCCACCATCGGTTGCTGTCCGCATGCGCAAGCCGCAAACATGGCGGGTGCCGGTTCGGCCGGCTGTGTCTGTACTGCGGGTAGTTACGCCTGGGCTATGCTGCCCCGACTCCGCGGCGCGTGGACCCCGGCGCTGCTTCAGTGCGCGGCCAATTCTACCGCGGTCTCCAAAAGCAGAAGCGAGTCTAGAGGTGAGCCCCGGCTCGGAGCAGACGCTCTCACCCCCGCCTGTTCCGCCCCGTCCCTGAGCAGGCTAGGCGTCACGTGACCGGCCGGGGATTGCTCCGCGCCCCGGGCGGAGTTGGGGGGCGAGAGGGAACGTTGGAAGAATTTTCCGTTAACGGCCCATGCGCCCCCCGCCCCGCCCCCACAGGAAATGGCTGCTGACGGAGGGGGTCTTCTTAGACTGAGTGGGGACCTGCGCACTGTCTCTCTTCCCCGTCTGCTCACCCCCTAGACACCTTTCCTTCTCCTCCTCCTCCTCTCCCGCCTGGCTGCAGAACCCCCCTTTCTGAGTTTCAGTGCCCAATGCAGGGCTCAAAACATGGGGAGCGAGCGGACAGAGCCTGTGCCTCCTCCCTTGACCCCAGTGTTGCCAGATGTGCAGTAATGATAACAATGTATGATCGCTTCCACCCTCATAGGATGTAAAAGTGCTTGAAGTATACGAAAGGAAATTGGAGGTGCATGAATAAGTGGGTCTGATATTGGATCGGCACCAGTGTATAGAAAATTGATTGCTTTGGAAATGGGTCTGAAGTGGCTGATAATTTGGCAAATAAATGTCCGGGCATGTGCACGCAGCCGCAGCGCAGCACGCAGGTGGTGAGGAGAGCAGCCCGGTGGTGTGGAGAGCTGTCTCCAGCTGGTAAGTCTGTTGCAGGGAGGGGAGAGGGAAGATGAGGGGGGGCAGATCAATGCCCCCTGCGGTGAGGGAGGGAAGGACAGAGTGGGGCAGGGGCTGCCTAGTCAGGGTAGGGCAGGCACAGGACGGTGCTGCAGCTCATCCAGGGAGTGCAGGGTGAGGGGGGCGCCACTGTGTGTACCCCAGGAGGGCACGGGGGGTGGGGGGCGGTGTCCATGTGCCCTAGATCTGCACAGGGGTTGGGGCCAGGGTTGTGCCAGGCTTTTCTCAATGTGTGGGGGTTGCACTCAAGATGGTTCAGGGTGGGCGGCAGCGGCACTGGGAGGGAGCTACAGCAAAATTTGGGGTGGTTGAAGCTCCTCCCCTGTAACCCCCCCTCCCAGCACCGCCACTACCCACACTGGGAAGAGGCTGGTATGGCCCTGGTCTCAGCCCACAGCTGCAGCCCACCCTTCCCCGCCCCCCAGCGCAGATCCGGGGCACATGGACCCGTGCCCTTCCGGTTGAGCCGCAGCTCTGTCCCACCCCGGCCCCTGCCCCAGTCCCTCCTTCTTCGCGGTGAGCATTGGTCCTTGCCTCTCCCCTCCCTGTCCACCACAATAGACTTGCCAGCTGCACGCAGCTGTATTTGAAATTGGATGGGTATCGGCCGATATGCCTCCTTAAAAATCTGCTATCGGTATTAGCCCCCAAAATCTCTATTGTTGCACTCCTAAAAGAAATGCAAAACTCTAAAACTTGATCAGAGATGATACCTTTTATTGGACCAACTAACAAATCGCAAAAAAATTACCTTTCTTTGCAAGCTTTCAGGGAAAGATGGAGAAAAGTCCCCTTAGGTAGAAAATAAATTTAATTTTGCACAGAGGAAGCTAAAGATGGGTGTATGCTCCTCTGGGTCCATGAGAGTTCCTTTGTGTGAGTTGCCCTTTAGTGTGCAGATAAGGCAGGATTTCTTCCCTGGTGGTGTCAGATGACATAAAAGCAAGGACATGTAGAAATCTTTTTTTCTTGTTTAGCTGTGAAGTTTATAATTCCAACATCAGCTAAAATACAGCATTTTCTGTGTTTCAGGCATGTATTTGGTAGGCGCATTGGTCTGTCCCACTTTGCAAAGAAAAACTTGTCCAACTGTTTGAGTTGGCTTAATAAAAGATATCAGATTTACCTAAAGACCCTTGTCTGCATCTATCCTTAGACCAATACTGCTACAACCTGTACCCCCGATAATTTCTGAGGCAACTAATTGATGCAATATGTGCAAAACCCAAATCATTTTCAGGGAGTTTTAACTGACTTTGGGGCTTGTTGTTAGCACTTAGTTATGATTTCTTGCCTCAAAATAAAGAAATGCTGCAACTTAGACCCAGTTCTCACTCACTCACTGCTGAGTTACAGTGAGCAATGTAAAGTAAATTGTGCGGGCCGGGAGCGACCCGGGCCCTTTTCCGTGCTGCACGTGGGCTGTGGCCAGCAGCCCGGGCACGCTGGATCGGAGAGGGAGGGCGACGAGCTGGAATTAGGCACAAATGCTTAGTGGTAGTTTTAAAGATTGTTTACTTACACCGAGATGGCAGTGGTGTAGGCTAGAGAACTTGCTTGAGTTGCGGTTACAGACACAGACGGTTACGTGGAGTTTGCTAGTCTCCACGGAACAGAGCTCCGGATGCTCTGGGTGAACGCGCCACCAAAATCGGAATCGGAGATATGTCTTATAAAATTTGCACTCGAAGACGGGAAGAGGTGGGCGATGGATCAGGTCGCCAAGCTCTTCTGAATCTCACACAGGGTCTCTATTACCCTGCCGTGTATCCAGAGGCCCCACGAGATGGATGTGGAGTCCTCTTCGGCTTGGGCGGAAACCGCTCAAGCCTCTTATACGGCTAACAGGCCAATTGTTAGCCACCACATGGGAATAATTTAAAACGCCAATAGCAGGGAACGAATTTGCATACCGGTGGCAGGAACTCTTTTGCACTGTGCATTTCTCCTGCAACTTGAGCAATGCACTCTGCAAAAGAAGCTGCAGAAAGGCGGGAAACTCGTCCCTGCACCGGGGTTTTCCTGTGCAACAGGAAACTTTCCCGTGCAATGAAGCTGCAACTTGGCGGGGATAATTCTGGTGCCGAAGCGCACACAAAATCATGCCTTTGGGTCATGACATAAATAAGACAGCTTATTCGTATTTTTTTCAGAGTGTGGTAGTTTTAAAGCAAATAGGATAATTTTGAGCTTCCAATGCAATAATTTAATATTTAAGACCTGGCAACGCTGTTTGTCTCTGCGGGGGGAGGCTTCAGGTTGCCTCATCCAGCAGTGAGTGAGGGAGTGACTTTCCTTGGCTTCGCAGCCTCCATGTCCCCATCCTATCTGAAGGCAAGGGCGTTTGGGACAGGCTTCAATCCGCTTTTGAATACAGCACATCCCCCTCCTTCAGGTTATCGTTGTTCAAAAGTGTGGCCAAAGTCTGTCCCAGTCCTGCCCATTGGTCTAGTGTCGCCTGCACCCACCCTTGCCTCTTACACATTTCCTGGACCGTCAAGGGGCCACAACGTTACTACAGCCTCCTTGTTTCTAGCTGTTTCCAGCTGTTGTTTGCAGTTAAATCCCTGACCAGTGCCTACTCCTTTTGCATTTGTCCTTCACTGTGCTGTAGGCAGTCCCACCCATTTTCTGGCTTTAATCTATGGAAACCGCTCCAGCCAAATTGCCAGTATCATTAGGAAAGCTGATTTCTTTCAGGTGCTGAATAATTGGTCTTTGTCTCCAAATATTGAAGGCCAGAACTTCAGAAGAGCAATAATGGAGTTCATGTTCTTGTACCTCTGTTTTGTTAGGGTCATGATGAAAGCGTGGTTTGTGTCTCAAATAAGTATATTGCACAATTATGCTGAAAGAAGAACTTTTGCAGTGGACATCAATGCAAAGACAAAAGTCTTCTCTATTTGTGTTTGTTCTGATGTCAGCTAGCTTGACCATGGTAGTTTGATCTCATTCATCACTACTTTTCCCCCCACAAATTATCGTGCAACTTTAACAGCTCCAGTAGTATATTTCAGGGAAGATGTTACGTGACTTGGGTACTGAAGCCTTTTTTTTTTTCTTTTCTTCATATGGTCAGTATACACCATTCATCACTGCTGAAGTAACTTGTCTTCAACACTTATTTAATGCATTCAGAAAACTTTATTCAGGTTTTCGGTGTTTGAGCCTTCTCTATAACAGAAGCACATAAGGAAGGAAAAAGCAAACCTTCTCCTCACCTGCAAGAGTGGGGTGGGGAGTCAACAAACACACGAATAAAGAGAATCCAATGAATACAGTATACTTCGGAGTTCCTCATCAAAGGCTTTTAAAGTAATTAAGCTGTAATGTTATCAGAGAGAAGGTCCTCTCATGGACTGAAAGCTGGTTAAAAGGTAGGAAGCAATAAAGAGGATTAAATAGTTACTTTTTCACAATGGAGGAAGATGGTAGGGTACTTCCAATGCCCTGTTCTGAAATATGTATTATTTCTCATAGTCATAAGTGATCTGGAAAACAGCAAAGACTTATGTTTGCAAATAATACAAAATTACTCTTGTTAGTGAAATATAAAGATGATGATGATGAGTTTCAGAAAGTTTTCTCAAAATAGAATGCTCAGGTAATTAAGGGATGGATAACATTTGACACTGAACACAATAACTTGCATGGAGGAAAAAATAATAAAGACTATACAGAAACAGTAGTTAGCTCTGAATTATTTTTTGTCACTTAAAGGTTGGAGGCATTCTGGATAGTTTTTTAGAGTCATTGGTTTAATGTACAGTTGTGGTCAAAAAGGCATATGGCTTATTAGGGATCCTTAGAAAAGGAACTGGAAACATCATTATTCCATTATATAAAGCCGTTGTTCACCCACCTGTTGAATGTAGTATGCAGCACAGAACAACAGCAACAGGTACAGAGAAGAGCAACCAAATTGGGAATATAGGATGGCTTCCATGTGAGAAGACTAAAAAGGCTAGAACTTTTCAGCTTGGAAAAGGATGATTGAGTTGGGGTTTGATAGAGGTTTATAAAATAGTGAATAGTGTAGAAGTGACTAGAAAATCTGCAGTTAGCTTTGTCTCATAATATGAGAACTAGAGAACACCTGATGAAATTGTCAGGATTTAAACAAAATGAAATATCTATTGGTATCGGGAGCAGGCAAAATATGGCCTGCCGGCTGATTGGATTCACCCTGCGGCTAGGTGCCTGCCAGTTGATTGTCTCCAGTTTGCAACTACCCCCACAGCACTCCGCGTGGTCCTGAGCTCTGGCCAAGGCCGCCTGCTCTGT